ATTAGTTATTTAATTAACCAAAAAAAATTACATCTTTATTAATAAAAAATTAATTCTTCACCAAAAAAAATTATATATAAACTAAGCAAACGTGCATTGCACGTTGCTTACACCTAGTCATTTATTTAAATTTCAATAAAATAAAACTGGATATTTATTAGTATACATGGACGTGAATAATAAAATGTATTTTTGAATGTAAAATTCTAATTAATTTATAATTAGAATTAATAATATTGAAATGTTTAATTAATTGAGAATTAATAATAGAGAATTCATACATTAATGAAAGCAAACATGTGAAATGAATATGTCAAATGTACATGTATATTGATGACAACTAAATGGTTAAATAAATTAATATATATGTATATATTGAAAAATGAAAAGTAAGATATCATCGAAATAATTGAATTATAGTAGGACTAAAATTGTCCAAAAAATAATTCTCACTTCATGTGATATATAATTTCAATTAAGTAAATTTGGATGTAAGTTAGCATACACATAAATAATAAAATACATTCTTGAATACGAAATTTTAATTAATTTATAATTATAATTAATGACACTGAATGACTAAAATACATAAATGAAGATGCATATTAATTAAATGCATGTAAATATTAATTAATTGAAAATTAATAATAGAAAATTCATGCATTAATAAAAGTACACATGAAAAGAATTAGTTATAAGTACATTGATGGTAACTAAATGGTTAAATAAATTAAATACATATAGAAAAATGAAAAATAAAGTATTATTGAAATAATTGAATAATAGTAGGACTAGAATCGTCAAAAAAATGATTTAATATATTATAGATTAAGAAGTAGTGGAATAAAAGAAAGTGCAATTATTAATGGGACAAGTCCCCTCTACCCCCCTCCCCTCGTCCCGTACTTGACTCGAGGAAGGGATTTTATCCCCATTCCCGATTAATTAGAGAATCCTCACCACTTTCGGATCGGGTCCCCGTGAAGAACAGGGATACCCGCCTTGTCGTGGCTCCACTGTTCCACTTTGTTGGGGTCTCATGAATTGAACTTCGTTGTCATGCTCACTAATTGGCACTAATTTCTCTATTTTAAAAAAGCTAAAAATGTCAAAACCTACTTTGTATTGTCTAATATTTTTAAACCGTGGACCCCAATTGAAGATGTTTATTTGAAAGTTAAATAACTCTTGATATCGGATTAAAATCGTAAATTTGATCAATTTTTTTTTCAAAATAAATAAAATAGCCAAACGATAGGTCAAGATAATCGCAGTTTCACAAAACACATGAAGAGTAATATAAGTACAAGTTACTTATTTTGCCTACTCAATAGAAAAGAATCTTGCACTTCTAGTTAACGACACATTCAAGCATATGAATATGCCGAGATTTGCCGCTCGCTTGTGTAGACTATTGGTTCAACACTTGCTATCCGAAGGTTAGGAAACTTTTAATTTACGTCTTTTAGAAATCCGAATAGCTTAGTAACGGTTATTTCAATGTTCATGAAACGTATCTTTTTTATTTCAACTTGTCATTGACCATTTTAGTTAGTCGTGAACAAGGTGTCACAATACAATAAGGTTGAAAATATGAGTGCGATAATTAATAAATAAAACCTAAAAAAAGTGCTAAAATTTATCCAAAGATGCAGTTTCGAATCGGATACGCACTCTTGATATCCACTACCAAAACTGAAAAAAATTCCCTTTAGAAGCTTCAATTACACATTCTTGATTCACCATATATAAAAATATATATTTCTGCTTGAGGGAGCAAAATACTCGGCACTAGCAGTATACTGACTGCATTAATGGCTTCGAAAACCGCTGTTATATCATGGTCCGGTCTCCTCCTTCCTTACCCACCAGTCACCCATCACCCCAACCCCCACCTTAGCATACACTGACGCACACTCACCGGCTATTCTATAAAATCAATTTGTTTTTAATTGTGTAGTTTTCTTGTTCAGGGGTTCTGGTGAAGATGGGCAGTTAGGAATAGGAAACAATGAAGAGAAAGAATGGGTTTGCACAGTTACATCTCTTTTGTCAAATGAGGTTAGCTCCGTCGTCGCCGGTAGCCGCAACTCTCTTGCAATTTGTGAAGACGGCAAGGTTTTCCTAAACTTTTTACTCTGTTAACTGCTTTTCCTACCATGGTACTTTGATAAAAATTTCAGTATATTTTTAGGGGTTTGAGTTTGATAAAATTGATAGTTGTTTTTTTGGGTTTTGTTTCTTTGTGGGTTTTATTGATTTTCGATTGTTTATTTGTGAATTTAGTTGTTTACTTGGGGTTGGAATCAAAGAGGGACGCTGGGGCACCCACCGGAAACGAAAACTGAGAATATTCCTAGTCAAGTGAAGGCGCTTGCTAGTGTGAAAATTGTTCAGGTATTCTTATTTTTTTGAGGCCTTATTTGTGTTAGTTGGATGCTAAGTTTAATAGGAGTATATTGATTTCAGGCGGCGATTGGTGGGTGGCATTGCTTGGCTGTTGATAATCAAGGCCAAGCTTATGCTTGGGGTATGTTTACTTTGTTCTATGAACCCTTTTTCATTTGTCTTATTGAGGAAAAATGCAAAAAAGGAAAACATGATTAAATCTAAAGAATATTTGGGTGTCAAAGTTAAATCTTTGTAACTTTGTGGAGATTTTGGGACTTGATTTTTGTTAGATTATAGAAATTTATCCAAAATTGAACATAATGGTGGAAATGATTATTTATTTTTCTGAAGGATGTCAACTTTTCTTTTGGTGCAGGTGGAAATGAGTATGGACAGTGTGGTGAAGAACCTGAGCGTAAAGCTGACACGGGTAAACCTGTTAGGAGGGATATTGTCATACCACAAAGATGTGTGCCAAAATTATCGGTTCGGCAGGTGATTTAAATCAATATGTGGTTCATTTAAAATGACCATCTGCATCTTTAGAGTCCATACCTCTTGGCTTGTTCAGTGGAAAAAAAAAAAAGAACTAACAAAATTAATTAAAAGTTCAGCGCTTAACAAAACTGAGAATTATGGTAGATGCACACTGATTAGAAATGTGAACGCTTAATTCTGTTGATTATGAAGGTAAGAGTTTAAAGCTCCTTATGGTCAACCAGGAAGCCTAGTTGTTGGTGATGCATTTAACAACCCCGATTAATATTCTAACGTGCATGTACCAACATTAAGGGCTTCCAAACTTTGGTAAAGTTCCATATTCTTCTTGCAATACAGGTAGCTGCTGGCGGCACACACTCAGTTGTTCTTACTCGGGAAGGACATGTATGGACATGGGGTCAACCATGGCCTCCTGGAGACATGTATGCACCCGTGGACTGAAGTCTTAAGTGTTGTTTTTATTTTTGTATCCCTGCAAGTTATCGCCTTTTAAAATACTTTATAACCTCTAGTAGCTTGCAACATTGGCTTATTTAAATGTTTGTTACCTTATTTACAGAAAGCAGATTTCCACCCCTGTTCGAGTACAAGGCCTTGATAGTGTGAGGACGATTACAGTTGGAGCTTTTCACAACTTAGCGCTCCTTGATGATGGAGTACTAATGGCATGGGGTAATAATGAGTACGGCCAACTTGGAACAGGTGATACCCAGCCAAGATCACAACCTATTCCTGTCCAGGGACTATCCGGACTCACTCTGGTTTGCACTATTTGCTCTGATTGGCTGATGTATATTGCAGAAATCATTATATTTTTACCTTTATTTCTTTAGCATAATTTTCTTTTCTTGTCCAAGTTACAACTCCTAAATATTGGCTTCCTTCATAGCCGCTTCTCCTGTTTCTTGTCAGTGTTGATCTTTATCTTAACAGATAACTGTCAATTTTGATCATGTATAGTATTTGCTAAGTTTAGTTGGCGTCTGTGCTTTACTGCTTATGTGCAATCACATAACACTTCTGGAGGGAAGAGGTTAGAACATTTTTTCAATTTAAAAGTGCATCATGGAAGCACCAAAATTCTCCAATGAAGTGATTGCAGTCTTCTTTAAATCCAGGAAATGATACGAATTTGGTGGATTATGAGAAAGATATTTGATTGGAGAGCATCTAAAATACTATTTGAGGTGTAACACTAATGCTAAATGCAATGAATTATGGCATATCAAGAAACAGTTATGCAAAGTTCTATCATAGAAGGGAAAAGTCATCAACTATGTTTCCAACAGTTCAACTGTTAATGGATCATTTGGTTGCCGCAGAATTCTGTAGCCGTAAAAACTTGTAACTCATCATAATTTCTGATAGGAATTCAAAATGATTCTTCTGTTCGCTTCTTCAATTTTTTAATTAACAGAAGTAGAAGGAAAAAAAATGTTCAGATATTTCTATCCATGCCGCATCTAGAAACTGATTTCTGTGTATATTTTTAACAATGGAACACATAAGAGACCATGCATGGTTTTCCAGGTAGATATTGCTGCTGGAGGATGGCATTCTACTGCATTGACAGATGATGGGGAGGTATCTTTGATTCATTTTTCTTCTATGCTCTCTTTTGTACTTATTCATGGACTTGTGTTATTTTGAGCAGGAAGAAAAGGTAGTTACCATTGTAGAACTAATATTAAAAGCTGGGAATCAGAGTAGAGGCCGAATTTAACCATATCCTATCTCCAGTCGTCAAGTTAATCACCTAAAATGTTGCGTGATGATTTGGCTTCATTTCATCACAAAATTTCAGCTAGGCACTGTAATTTGTCTTTCAGATTCATGTGCTTTGAAGAAAAATATGTGATCAGCAATTTATTAATTACTTTACATGACCATTTTGTGAGCATTGAGCACTAATTGATACGGTGTTCTCCAATATGCCATCGAGTTTCATATGAGTGATCCTCCCAACATCCACCGACATACGGTCTCATGTATGCTAGCAAAAAAAAAAAAAAAAAGAAAAATAGAAGAAAAATTGCTTTGGTAGTGTATTCAATGGAATCAATTTTTTTGGGAGTGAAAGCTTTGAGGTCTGAAATTTTTTATGAACTTTGAAAATATCGAAGATCTTCAAATCTTTCTGCCTGTTTGATAGTCACTTGCATTTAATCCATGACTCTTTAGGCATTGGGGGTAAAATGCTTCAGCGAGAGGCAGAGTTGTGGTCTAAAGATATTAGATATTGGGTAAAATACTTCATCAGACTCCAGTTTGTGGGTCCAAAGATGTTCCCAAATGGTTCTTAAGATTCTGTTATTTTTAACTGGGATATGCCCACTTTACTCAGTCTTTCAGTTAAGGAGTTCCTCAACCTTGGCTGGGGTTGTTTGCAATCAGTCTATTACTTGTTTGTATGTTATTCATATCACTGGAGTTCTCTATCACTGGAGATTCTCAATGCATGTAGTAATTGAACCGTATAATTATTGCTAAATTAGGTCATCTGTTGACGATATCTCTGTTGCATAGGTATATGGTTGGGGCAGAGGGGAGCATGGGAGACTTGGATTTGGAGATGATAAGAGCAGCAAAATGGTTCCTCAAAGGGTTCAACTTCTAGCTGGGGAAGACATTGTGCAGGTGTGTTTGTACTTCATAAAGATCCATTTTCATTTTACTATCGCTACAACGCGGAGCCATAAATGTCTGGGAAAAGCAATTCCGTGCCATTACATCTCTCTCTCTCTCTTCTCTCGATTGATCTCGTGCCTCAAGTTTGCTTTTAGCTATCAAGTTAGCAGGATAGCGGACTTTGTAGTTTGTCATTATTTGTCCATTTGGTTGCTTAATTCTATTCAATGGACTATTTTGCATGATTGGATGCTGAAGTGCGAAATATATTTGACATAGTTACTTCAAATGTTCGTTCTTTTCCTCCTTTTGCTTCTCATGGAAGTCCTATCATTTAAGGTTCTTATCTAATTTGCAGGTGTCTTGTGGGGGCACTCACTCTGTTGCATTAACAAAGGATGGTCGCATGTATTCAGTGAGTGCTTTGCATTCTCTACCATTTCATGAATTGAACTTATTACTCTTTCTTCTCTCTTTCTCTCTCTCTGTAGTTCTAAACAGTAAACATAATGGAAAATATGTATTTATTATTATTTTTGAAACTCTGCCGAGGAACCTGGGTGATTTCAAAATATTGTCTTCCTTATTTGTGGGAAGACTTTATCTTATTTGTGTGTGAGATTTTCAATGCATATTGACTCGTCCTGTGGCAGTTTGGGCGTGGAGACCATGGACGTTTAGGATATGGGCGTAAGGTTACTACTGGTCATCCAGCAGAAGTTCCCATGCCACCTCCCGAAGATCTCAGTAGCAACGAAACTGAAGGACGTTGGTGTGCTAAACTTGTTGCTTGTGGTGGCCGCCATACGCTGGCAATAGTAGAATGGCGGGCTCATGAATCCGAAGCATTGCTGTGAAGATCTACTGTTCTGCGGCGTAAGTGAAATTTTTGAGATGAAAACTAATATTTAAGACTAGAAGAAATGGAACTTGAGAGGGATGATAACATTATTTGAATACTTTGTTTGGCATCAAGGACAATGCAATAGACCATATTTTGCTCTTTTGTGTTTGAATTTGAATTGAAGATCGTAACTTTGTATGCTCTTGGGTATGTGACCTTTGAAGTCTACAAGTTTAGGCCTCGTTTGACAGCCATTTCTTTTGGAAGAATGAGTTTTCGAATAGTGATTTTTTGGAGAATGTATGGTTAAAAAGTAGGAAAGAGTTTTCGATTCACGTGAAGAATATTTTATTGTGATAATATGTGATTGAAAATGAGTATGAAAAAAAAAGAGTTGGTTACCAAATAGGGGCTTATAGAAAGAAAAAATGTAGCATATGTTTCCGACTTATATACGAGTGAACCTTAGTGCAGATATGGACCGACCGGTTTTTGCTACCCAAGTTTTGGACGAGTCAGTCCCATCGTTTAAGTCTGTAACTAGTTAGTCCTTAGTGGAGGGCATGCAAGTAGTCGATAGTTAAAAAGTTCACCTTTATTGAAAAGACAATTATACTCTTTGTTTTTAATTAAAATCGAAAACACGGAAAATAAAATTAAAAGCAAGGGAGAAAAAAAGGGTTTGCTTTTTTCTCTCTTTATTTATTTATTTATCAAAATTAATTGTTCGCTAATATTCCCCCCTAAGAAAACTTATGTTGAGGATCAACTTGTTACATCTTAAGAGGCATTTTTAGAAAGTAAAGCTGAATTGCAATGATATTGAATGAAAAATACACGAAGAATGAGAGAATTATTTTTACGAATAATAAAAAAAAGAAAATAAATGGATAATTCGAGTATTAGAGCGAGGATGGGAAGTGCCAACTAAGTAAAATCTATGTCAAAAATATCTCACCCAAAAAAGAAAGATAAGAACATCGTTTACTACTCAATAGGTGAAAATTAGTGGACATTGTTGATTTACGTATTTTATTAAAAATTTAAAGTACTAGGAATTAAAGAAATTTTATTTATTTTCGATGAACTCCTACAAGCTGAATTCGTTATTTGATGGAATAGACTTAGTAAGAATGTGTACATTAATTTATACCTACAGTTGTGCTACCACTTTATTTTTGACGTCTCATATATCTGTAAAAAGAATTTGTAAATAGTGGTTTACAATAAGTATTTTCCTTATGACTGTCTACGGCACTACCTCAGAAAGGCCGACACTAGCAACATCCATGTCTTAATCAATGGCACATGTGATGAATGTAACGAATAGTTCGTATTACTTAGTATTTATAATGCCGACACTAGCAATATCCATGTCTTAATCAATGGCACAGGTGATGAATTTAACGAATAGTTCGTATTACTTAGTATTTATAATGCGAAATACGAACAAAAGTATAAAAAAAATGATTTAAGGTGATTTACTTTCAATGTGAAAGCTACGTCCACTTTGGTGCAACTCCAAAATTTCACTATATTGAAAAAAGAGAATTACGATGTCTTTTTAGACCCACACATCTCTATTTTCTCTCTATTAGAAAGGATGCACGAATATTAGAGCGACCTAATACATGTACAAATTTTTTAAAATTCACCTATAACATTATTGGGTAGTTAACATATAACATCCTTAACTTTTACTATTATTGTAGAAAACGTCTTTACCTTTCATTTTTTAGTATTTTCACCTTTATTTCCACATTTCATTATTCAAAATGTTATTTTTATTCATTTTCTCAATTAAAAATTGTGAAATGACGAACATACAATTCTCTTTAAATTAAAAAAAAAAAAGAATAAAGAAAAAACTAACTGCAACCATAATCCCAAAATTTTTTAAAAAGTGCAAAAGAGTCCCAAATAAATTATTAAAAGGGTAATTCGCACATAAACGTCCCTACATTTTGCTATTATTGCGAAAATATTCATACTTATTTTTTTGGCATTTTACCCTTAATTACACCTTTGATTACGCAAACCATCATTTCTATCCATTTTCATTCAATTTTTCTCAATATAGAGCCGGGAAATGACGAATATATCATCCTATTTAAATTAAAAAAACACAATAATTAATTGCAACCATAGTTCCAAAATTTTTAATAAGTGCAAATGAGTTCCCAATAAATTATTTAAAAAAAATTAGACATTACATTTCTCTTTTAAAAAAAGTGCAAACGAGCCCCAAATAAATTATTAGAAAATTAGAAATTAGTTTTTTTTTAAAAGTGCAACGAGTACGAATTAAATTTATTAAAAATAAAAATAAATAAAAAGTGTAAACGAGTCCAAAATAAATTATAAAAAAATAAAAAAAATTAAATTTTTTATTTAAATAGGAGGATATATTCATCATTTCACAGCTCTTTATTGAGAAATTGGATGAAAATTGATAAAAATGATGGTTTAGGCAATTAAATGTGTAATTAAGAGTGAAAATGCCAAAAAAATGAAAGGTATAAACGTTTTTCGCAATAACTGTAAAATATAGGAACATTATGTGTTAATTACTCTTTTAATAATTTATTTAGACCTCATTTGCGCTTTTTAAAAAATTTGGGACTACTGGTTGCTATTAATTTTTTCTTTTTTCCTTTTTATTTAAAAAGAAAGGTATATTCGTCATTTTACAATTTTCAATTGAAAAAGTGGATGAAAATGACATTTTACACAATGAAATGTGTAAATAAGGGTAAAAATACCAAAAAATGAAAGGTAATGACATTTTCCACAATAAGAATGAAAGATAAGGACGTTATGTGCTAATTACTCTTAAAATACGGATAAAAGAAAAAATGTACAATATATGTTAAGCTACCAAATTCAATCATGCATGTTGTTCACAGCTGAACGAATCATTATTAAATTTTACAATCATGTAACATATACATCTTGTTTGACATCATTTTTTATATTGTGCCATATGTCGGTACATGACTGGATAGTTTTTAAAAATAACACACTTTTCTGCCCAATATTTTTTGAATTTGCACACAATGTACGCCAAGATGTTATCCATGGATTGTACACTTAACATAATTCTAAATTTTAATTAATTTATTTAGAAAAATACGAGACATTCACTATAATATTAGTAATTAATTAATTAATTATGAGCTATTATACACATTTCCGAAATAAATTGAAAAGAAATAAATGATTTACACGAGATACATTGAGAGAGAGACTGACAAGTTGGCGTTCAAATTTTATGGAAACACAAACTTTCTTGGTTTACAACATAAGATCAAAGGTTAAATCCCCGTTGGACCAGGATTTCTGTTATTCCAGGACTTGTATTAATCAAATATGGATAAATTGTCCTGTAGGAATTCTAGTGTAAATTTGTTTTAGACTTCTAAACAAACTGTAAGCCTTTTTCATCCCTCAAATCTCTATATATACCAAACAGTTTCGAGTTCTCAATACTCTCTCTTTAATCCCGACTTCTTTTTGAATTTCAGTGTTCTGCATTCGGAGATATGGGTGTTGTTGGTATCGCTGTTAGCCGAGGCGTTCGGGATGACAATCTTGCAAAGTACCCCGGAAAACTCACATGTTACGTGGTCATAACATTAATGGCTGCAGCCATGGGAGGATTGATTTTTGGTTATGATATTGGTATATCAGGTATACAAATTAGCCTTCTAGTTCTTTTTCATGGTTTTGATTATTCAAGAAGAGTTCTTATTTAAGTTTCTTGGTTTTCTTGATGCAGGTGGAGTTACTTCCATGGCGCCTTTTCTGGAAAAATTCTTTCCATCTGTTTACCATAAACAGATGGATGATACGTCGACTAATCAGTACTGCAAGTTTGACAGCCAAATCTTGACACTGTTTACATCTTCCCTCTATTTGGCTGCCCTTGCAGCATCCTTTTTTGCATCCACAGTCACTAAGAAATTTGGTCGTCGAAAGTCAATGTTGTTTGGTGGAATAATTTTCTTGGTGGGTGCCATCATCAACGCTGCAGCAGTGCACATCAGTATGCTAATCATAGGTTGTGTTTTATTGGGCGTTGGTGTTGGCTTTGCTAACCAGGTAAAACTGAATTGATTTGTTCCAGAATTTACTCTTCGTGTTGATTTAAACGTTGGATCATTCATCTAACTTTGTTTTGATTCTATTTATTATGCAGTCCGTGCCTCTTTATCTATCAGAGATGTCTCCATATAATTGGCACATTTAATGTTTGCTTTCAATTGATGATCACAATTGGAATATTGGTAGCCAACCTGATCAACTATATCTTTGCTAAGATTGAGGGTGGCTGGGGATGGCGGCTCAGCCTGGGATTGGCTGGCGTTCCTGCCGTAATAATCATTATTGCATCTTTTTTCCTCTCCGACACCCCAAACTCTCTCGTGGATAGGGGAAAGGAAGAGGAAGCAAAAGCACTGCTCAAAGCGCATTCGTGGAGTTGACAACGTTGATGCTGAATTTAGTGATATTCTTGCAGCCAAGAATGAAGCAAGACTAGTGCAGAATCCATGGCAAAATATCTTAAAGAGGTGGTGCTATCGTCCTCAGCTGGTCATGTCCATCTTGATCCCTTTCTTCCAACAACTTACTGGAATCAACGTGGTTATGTTCTATGCCCCCGTGCTCTTTAAAACCATTGGATTTGGAAGCAATGCTTCTCTCATGTCAGCTGTTATTTCTGGCATTGTAAATGTCGTTGCGACTTTAGTGTCTGTCGCGTACGCTGATAAGTGGGGCAGAAGAATTCTTTTCCTTGAAGGAGGTGTCCAAATGCTTATCTTTCAGGTAAAACATTAACTGATTTTAAGACACGTGCAGTCATATTAATTATACATGGTCGTCGCTAATGTAATCTTTTGCTGATTCTTGACGATACAGAATGCAGTTGCAGCTCTTATTGGAGCCAAATTTGGTGTGACGGGAGACATGACTTCGCTGCCAAAGTGGTTTGCCATAGTGGTGATGATATGCATCTGGGTCTATGTTGCCGGTTTTGCATGGTCTTGGGGGCCATTGGGATGGCTTTATCCAAGTGAGATTTTCTCGTTGGAGGTCAGGTCGGCAGGGCAGAGTATTAATGTAGCAGTGAACATGTTCTTCACATTCTTAATAGCTCAGGTGTTCCTTTCGATGCTGTGCACGATGAAGTTTGGTCTCTTCATCTTCTTTGCATTCTTTGTGGTGCTGATGACCATCTTTTCTTACTTCTTCATGCCTGAGACGAAGAATATTCCTATTGAAAAAATGACACAAGTATGGAGAGACCACTGGTTCTGGAAAAGATATATGAACGATCCTAATGATCCAGTCAATAAAGCATTGGAGCTGAATACGACGGAACAAATCTGATTTTTTTGATTCAAAATTTTTTTTTCCAGTTTTTACTTAATCTCAGTGTTACAGATCTTATCAAAACTGTAATTTTTCATATAGATTTTTATATTAGTAATTACACACTTATTATTCATTAGATTCCTGCTTTAAGGAAGTTTTTCTGGTTTCCACTCAGTTCGAGTAAATTTTAGTACTTTCGCACGATCTTCTTTTGAATACATACTGCTCTGAATCAACTCGTATCGTCAAAGAGAAATATTGATTCCGTGACCATTCCATCATATTAAACATGCTCGTATTATTCAATTCTTTGGATACATGAAAAAGATTGTAGCTTAAGTTTGTGAATGTGGTTATAAATTGGAACCGAAGTATCTGTCGATAGATCGATGGATGTGACTAGGAGTCTGATTAAAAATTCGACAATCAGTCTTAATCTTTAAACTATAAATTTTCATATAGTTTTTTATATTAGTAATTACTCTCTTTTATTAATAGTTGGATTCTGCTTTACTAAAATTTTGCTGATATTTGCTGATAAATTGGGATATTACGCTTCGTTCTGAGTAAATTTTTGATATAATGAAGCCCACTAGCTGAAACTGAGGATGGTTTCAAGATTATCTTGAGATCCCTGAGGTTGAAGATTTGTTCATCTTTCGAAATAAAAGATTCAATTTTGAGGAAAATATTGTTGAGAGGTATTCACTTAGTGCAAAAGAGAACAAACAATCTCTTGATTCAAGGTCTAGTGTCGGATATACCATAAATTACGATGAAATAGTCGCTAATGTGAAATCTCTATAGCGGCTTTGTAATGAACTTGTTCATCTTACAAGTGCCCCTAAACTCGAGAAGAGAGATATGTGTTGGCCTATTCGAAATAATGATATTCTCGTCTTATTAGTCTATACGGTAATAGATATTATTCAATGTGATATATATCTCACAATTACAATTCCTTATGATTAACATATCACTTACATTTATTCATCAGACTCCATTATTCATCTAAATAATATAGTGGAGAGGCAAATAAATCAAAATCATTGCGTAGATAATAACTAGTGCACAATGAGGAGTTTGTCCCATCATGGCCACAGTGCCGCAAATGTGTGAATTTTGGTTACCCATTTGCGTGGCTATCTTATTTTATTTCATGGATAGAAAATCATAGACTGACTCATTTGCCCCTACCTAGGTGGCCTTGCATGAGTGGTATAGTGGTGGCAATGGCGGGTGGTGAGGCGCTTATTGGTGGAGCAATGGAGGTGGCAGTGGCGGAGTGGGTGGAAGGAAACGAAAATTATTCTTTTTAAATTATTTTCATTTTTTTTTAATTTTATGAATTTTTAATTTTTTTTATTTACTTAAGAATAATGAAACGATCAATTTACTCTTTTTAATTTTTGAATTTGATGGTCAAAAGAATTGACCAATGGAGAATAGGATTGAATCCATCCATCCATTTGTATAAATGCCACCAATTTATCAAAGATTTGAGACACAAATGTTGATAAAAAAGGTTGGGCCGAAAGTTAAAAAGAATAGAAAGATTAAGAACGTTTGTCACAATTTATTAATATTTATAATTTCAGTAACAAAACACACGAATGTTCAATAAAATAGTAACCTTACTTTAAATAGTACTCCCTCCGTCCCAATTATATAGATTGAGTTTTCTTTTTATCTTATCCCAAATATATAGGCATATTTCTTAATATAGAATATTTTGTTGTATTCCTTTACCAATATACCCTTATTAAATTTTCCCCACCTAATATGCCAACTTCTTGAAATCATCCAAATACACACATTTTCCACTTCTTGGAAATATGGAACAATTCTCATTTCTTTTTCTTCAAATTTTNTTCAAATTCTTTATGAATTCCAACAATAATTTAGTTTTACCCACTGAAACTTAAATAGGGGTAAACTAGGAAAGATCTCGGCAAAAATTAATTTTCCAATGACATTAAAAAAAATTTCTTAATCCGTGTAAAAAGTGAAATAAGCCTATATAATTGAGATGTAGGGAGTATCTTTTTTCTAATCTCAAATTAAAAGATTACGAATTTCCAAATTTCAAAAAATAAAAATAAAAACTAGAATTTTAATACTAAATTAATAACCCTGCCAAATTCCATCCTACATTAATCTTCATCCCCGTCTTTGAATGTGATCTTCCCAAGAATAGTAAGGTCAACCCCATCTTGGGATTGGGGTGGGGAGGGGTGGAGGAGGGCTGCCATTAACCCCTTGCCATACACTAAAAGCCATGTCCTAAAACAACTATATATTAACTGAAGTGCTTGCTAAGAAGAGTGAATTTTTAATTCAATCTTGTTACATGTACCTCTAATTCTGAATAATGTTATTTAATTTAATTGGAGTTATATCTCCAATCTATGTGACGTTAATGTGACATTAAATGATAGGTTAAATCATTTTATAACTTCAATTTATGTGACGTTAACGTGACACTAAATAGCATCACTCCAGAATTTTGCCAAGCAGTTTAACAGATTGTCAACTATCACAATTTCATCGAATGTTGGATAAAAAATAACTTTAAATCAGTCAATCCAGTGTTGCCACCTCATTACCTGTAAAATCCTTGATAAAAATCCATGTACAAGGAGCTTAATTCTTTTTAATTTGCAATTTTGCATTTTAAGCCAAAGTACTTTGTTTTTTTCTTTTTTAAATGCAATTAGTATGATCCCTCTATTAATGCTTTCAATGTGGTTATGGTTGGTCATAATTTAGGCAATCCAAACACTTGCACACAGAATATGATTTCCAAAAGTAATCTCTACCGAAGCTAATGTATATTCTTTTTATACAATTTATTAAAGAAAATAAAAAATTGCCTTAAATCTTTGAATCTTTTCTATAGTGCTCATATCATATCACTATAAATTTGGAGTTTCCAGCCACCGAAATAAAATCACCCTTCTCTCACTCTATATAGATACCGTCTCTCGCTGTGTTTCTTGTGTGTTTGTGAGAGTAAAAGGCCTGCAGGATGGCTATGGGGGTGGTATTGGCAATATTTGTGATATTTGTGTATTTCTTCTACAAAGTTGTTTATGAAACTGTATCATTTTACTGGCTAACACCAAGACGCATCCAGAAAATAATGGAAAAACAAGGAGTTCGTGGCCCGAAACCACGGTTTCTGCTAGGAAACATCATGGACATGGCTTCCTTAGTCTCGAAATCCACCTCTCAGGACATGGATTCTATCAGCCACGACATAGTCGGGCGCCTCCTGCCCCATTTCGTCGTCTGGTCCAAGTTATACGGTAACACATTTATACGATTTTTCATTGTGTCCTAGATCGCTAAATTTCGTTTACGGGATCATAACCGCTTGGCTGCCGTCGCCTTGTTCTTACGCGGAATTTTGTGATCAGGAAAGAGGTTTGTCTACTGGAATGGAACTGAACCAAGAATGTGCTTGACAGAAAGTGAACTGATTAAAGAACTTTTGTCCAAATACAATAGCATATCTGGAAAATCATGGCAACAGCAACAGGGCTCCAAGCACTTCATTGGGAAAGGCCTTTTAATGGCCAATGGTGAAGATTGGTACCATCAAAGACACATCATTGCACCTGCATTCATGGGAGACAAACTAAAGGTACATATACAGGGGCAGCGCCAGCATCCAGTAAACCCCTACGGCCGCCTGTGCTGGCTCCGCCGAATTTTTTTTCCTTATATTGGGCAGCCGCTTGCCTGCACCCACCTGGATTCTTGGATCCACCACTGTACATATACGCCCTCACAAGATGGTAGTTCGTTTAAAGGATATTAGAATTAAGCATTAATAGTGTTTTTGGTTTATCTGCAGAGCTATGCGGGGTACATGGTGGAATGCACTAAACAGATGCTCCAATCACTGGAAAATTCATTAAAAAAGGGTCAAACTGAGTTTGAGATTGGAGAACATATGACTCGCCTCACCGCAGATATTATTTCAAGAACTGAATTTGATAGCAATTACGAAAAGGGAAAGAAAATATTCCATTTGTTAACGCTTCTGCAACATCTCTGTGCACAAGCAAGCCGGCATTTGTGCTTTCCAGGAAGCCGGTTGGTCATTTTGTTCTCTTCTTTATAGTAAATGATTTTACTTTTTATCTCCTCGACCCACAGATCGACTTAATATTCCTACGACGTGAAAGGGAAAGGTTTTTTAGGCGTTGAATACTGTCTCAGATTCCAATTATTAATTGTTCATACCTGTCAAGTCAATGAAAAACCCATAATCCCAGCCATAAAATCAGTTTGAAAAAGAAACAGAGCTCTGTTCTTAGAATTGACAGCCATAATTTTCAATAGTTAAATTATACATTTTTTCTGCAGGTTTTTCCCAAGTAAATACAATAGAGACATAAAATCTCTAAAGCTGGAAGTAGAACGATTACTAATGGAGATCATACAAAGTCGAAAAGATTGCATAGAAATCGGTCGAACGAGTTCGTACGGAAATGATTTACTTGGGATGCTGCTAAATGAAATGCAAAAAAAGAAATCAGGCAATGGATTTAGCATAAACCTCCAATTAATCATGGATGAATGCAAAACATTCTTTTTTGCTGGACATGAAACTACAGCTTTATTACTCACTTGGACAATTATGCTACTTGCCGGCAATCCTTCTTGGCAAGAAAAAGTACGTGCTGAGGTGAGCCAGGTCTGCAATGGTGGTTCACCCTCTGTTGATCAGCTCTTAAAGCTCCCTTTGGTAAGATTTTTTCCTCTACGAATTTATTTATTTATCTTTATTTTTTTGGTTTACGGGTTCGACAGGATGTTAATTACGTATGGGACGACTCCCATACGAAAAAATGAAATTTCAACGACCTACATAGGATGTTTGGTAGGTCAACTAAATATGGTATCTCATTTTCGTGCACCTTCGATGCTCAAGTTAGTGACGGCAATGGGACATGGAAGCGTAGAAGAGAGAAACACCCCATACCCTCTATTTTGTTCTATCGAGT